GAGCTTCAGCATAACGTACACCAGAAGCCCCATCGGCGCTTCAAACCATCTCTGGCAACTCGTCTGCCCGCGCGCACCTGCTGGAACCAGAGTGGAGCCACGTGGCTTTACCAATCTCGCCCAGAGCCCGCATCCTCATCTCACCACGCGGTGCATCCGCGTTGCTCCAGCATCTGCCCAGTCTACGCACTTGTATCACTTCATCTCGTGGGGGCCACGCGCGCGCCGCCATGCGAGCGGTGTGTCGACATCCTCCCAGCGCTATTTGTGCTCGACGCATTCTCAACACAGAGCTCTCGATAAGCGTACGGACAACCACAGGCGATGCTTTAACAAGTGTGCCAGGGTTCGTGCGTTTCCGCGTGCGCGCGCATTTCCTCACCACTTGTCATGAGCGCCGCCGCATCACGCCATCGTCATCGATAATCGCCAGGGTTGCTGACACCATCGTTCAAGCATCTTCATCATTGACACAGGGACATCATCGTCGTCATCTGCGTTACCAGCACTGGCGCCGTCATTGACCGTGCTGTTGTCATCGCCGTCAACGCTACCAACACCGCTACTATCATCTTCGTTGCCGCCGTCGTCGACGTTATCATGATACTGCGCCCGCCCGAGCACCCGACCAGAATAGAAGTGAGCGTGCGCCAGCGCTGCCTTTGACACGCGCTGCGACGTTGCCACTGGTAAGCACCATCGCGGCCGCATCGGTTGTGCCGAATCAGCTTGCCGCTCTGCGCGCGAGCTTGCGCGCGCCAGCGCGGCCGCAGAGATGCGCCATCCATGGCCAAGCAGTCAACGCAATCGCCGCCGCGCGGGTTTTGCAAACTACGTTGCGGGTGGGAGGGTGGGGTGGTTGCGCGAGCAGTGGGGTTGACAATTCACGAATTTGGGAAAACATCATTGCACCGCATAGCTTGCACCACGTAGCTTGCACTATACACGTAGCTTACACAAAGCAGCGAACATCAGATATTTTGTACACCGGATTTCTTGGGTCACCTATATCTTAGATTGCACCGCCTAGCTTGCACCACATTGCTTGCACCGCAGTGGGTGCGCATGTATATGTGCATTTGCCGGGGGGAGAACAGGAGAACAGAGCGGTATACATTGAAATCACGATAGAGGCCGGTTTGGTCTTGCGTGGAGCAGGACATACGCACACACGCAGAGACGTACATGTATGTATGCCAATTATCTATGTAGGTGTGTATGTGCGTTCGTACATACAGCTCAATGTATATACAGAGTCATATCTGTCTGTACACATATATACACATTGCGATATGCTGGGGCAGCGTCACTATCGAAGTTCCTGGCGGATGCTCACAGGAGGTACGGTAAAATTCGCGCCGCATGGAAGCGGCGGCGACCCCTACGCGGACGTTGCCTTCAACGCCGCCAGCGGCCCTGAGAACCCTTCAAGGTTGACATCGGCCGACACCAGGCGATCTGTGCAGTCGGAAGGCCGAGGTCGTGCGAGAACGGGCGATCCACGCAGCGTCAGATGCCGATGCCGACGCCATCGCGCCGCGCATCCACCGCGCGTTGCCGAGACCCGCAGGCGCCGACGGCTCCGTGGCCCTGCGGCGGAGAATCCTCCAGAAGCACGGGCTGAAAGTCGTGACGGCGCGCCGCCGCCGCCGCCCAGCTCCGGGGCCCTCTCCTCCCCTTGCGCTCCCTCTCTCGGCCTTGGGTTAAGTCGGGCCCGTCCCTCTACAGGAGGAGTATTCAACAACCGTATTCTTTTGGCCATTTTGGGACCTGTTTTGAGCATTCCTTATTTTTCGCCGAAGCTCCCCCTGCAAGGGGGACGCGCCCGATTTGAGCCTCGGGCTGCCCTCGGGCCTCTCTCGCCACCGCTCCGCCATCCTGCGGCTCCCCTTCAGTCCTCGCGTCTCTTCCCCCGCAGGGGCAGGAGCTCGCCCAGCCCGCCCAGCCCGCCGCGCGCCGCGGAGGCCAAGCCCGAGGCCGGAGTCCTCCTCCTCCTCCTCCTCCTCCTCCTCCTCTTCCTCTCTTCCTCCTCTCCTCCTCCTCCTCCCCTGCAGGCATGTACCCAAACCTGCGCTGCTTTGTCGAGCGTGGTGGCGGAGGGCAGTCAGCAGGCCGGCGGCAGGCCGAGAGGCCGGCGACCATGAGCGTACTGCGCACGGTCTGTTTGCTTTCACATTGCTGTTTGGGCTCATTCCGCTCAAAAGGAAAACCTGCGCTGAGTTGTCGGTTCGGCGCTGGTGCGAAGGATTGCAAAAAAACGAAGGATTGCAAAAAAGGATTGCAAAAAAAAACCGAGGATTGCAAAAAAAACCCGATTGCAAAAAAAAACAGTAGGATTGCAAAAAAAAACAAAGGATTGCAACAAAAAAAACCCGTGGTGCTTTGTCCGGCGACGACCCCTGGCGCACTCCGCGCGCCGGAGGGGCGGGGGGTCAGCGCCGATCCAAGAAATCCGCGCGGACCTCCGAAAGCTTACCTTCGCGTGATTCCCCAATCAGTGCTTGCACTGAAGGGGTCCTAGCGGAAGTTGAAAGACTTGGCAAAAATTCCCGCCGAATTTGGTAGCAGGCTGGATTCCCAGGTTCCCGGTTTCGGGTTCTTGGGTTCCTGGTCATTGGTTCCAGGCCGATTTCGGTGGGTTCTGGGTTCCCGGGCTCCCGGGTTCCCGGTCGATCTCCTCAGCGAGAACTATCCACTGATTGGGGCTTTTCTCTGGTGTAATTTGTTGATCTATTCTGTATTGTTTGCTATGTCCTCGCACTACTGCCTCCACCTGCTGGTTCCTGGTCTTTCAATCACTTACCCCAGCCTGCCCTGCGTTCATCTCTCCGCTTCAAGCTCGTGGCCGCCAAGAGCGATGCGAGCATGGAGAAAACGTCGGGCCATCAACCAGCTGAGTTTCGCAGGGATGGTTGTCAGGGCCGCCTTCTTGCCAGCATCTGGGTTCGCCACACATCCAAACGTTAGCCAGCGTGGGTTCAACCGAGAGTACTAGTATTAATATATGTGGTGCTAGATATGTGGAGCAATCTCAGTTGTGCTCCCTAAGTGTATACACATATATATATATATATATGTATGTGTGTGCTGCAAACTACGCGGCGCAATGTATTTTGTGAAATCTATGTTGTAAAATCGGCGATTTAAATCTATGTTGTACAATCAGGCAATTATCCAGATGGTCGTTTTCGACTTCCAATTCAAGGTGTTTCAAGTCAAGCTGAGTCTACTCAATAGGACCGCGCGGCGCACTTTCCGCTTCCAGGGATCATGATTTCGACTGGTTATTGATACAAGCACACCTGTGCCACTTGCAGAAACCTCTATCGCAAGCAGAACCTCTATCGCAAATGTAACGATTGTCCGATAATTGCAGATTCTGTTAGCGCGGTCACCAAGTGTCCTCGGAATTGTTATGATTGGTTCAGTTGTTGATTCACATGTTGTTTTTGTATGCGGTTTGCGCGTTAGTTATGCCAGTCGTTCATTCACACATGTTTTGTTACGTGCGTGGTGAGATGTACACCAATTCCGAATGTATGAGCGCAGGCTTTGTGTTCCTATGGTGATGGATGGGCTTCGGTGCGCGACCTCCCGGTACGCATCGTTCTCAGCTTTGCAGACCTCAAATCGGGGTGGGCGAGGACGGGGGGATATAGAGGAGTAGGAGGAGGAGGAGGAGTATAGGAGGAGGAAAGAGGGGGGTGAGAGGGGGGACGACGAAGGGGAGGGGGAGGAGGGAGAAGGAGGAAGGAGGGGGGAAGGGAGCAGGAGGAGGAGGGGCAGGAGCAGCAGCGGCAGGAGAGGAAGAAGGAGAGGAGGTCTTCCTCCTCCCCTCGCGCGCCGGGGCCGCGGCCGCGCCCTGGCCCTGGGCCTAGGCGCCCTGGGCGGCCTGGGCGGTCTCTCGCTCAGGTGGGGGACCGGCGGTGCGGGGCAGGCCCTCGCTTCCCTCCCCCATCCCCCCCCCTGTCCTCCTCCTCTCCTCCTCCTCCTCCTCCTCCTCCTCCTCCTCCTCCTCCTCCTCCTCCTCCTCCTCCCCCTTCTCTCCTCCTCCTCCTCCTCCTCCTCCTCCCCTCCTCCTCCTCCTCCTCCTCCTCCTCCTTCCTCTCCTCCTCCTGCTCTCGTCCCTGCGTCCTCGTTGTCGTCGCCCACCTCCTCCTCCTCTTCCTCCTCCTCCTCCTCCTCCCCCTCCTCCTCCTCCTCCTCCTCCTCCTCCTACCCTTCTTCCTGGAGCCCACGGCTACCTCGGGTAAGGTCGGCTGGTAGTCCCGAGGTGGCTGGGATCTCGTACGTTTTCCATCGTTGGCGCACTTAGTACAAAGCCGATGCCGTTGGGTGATGCCGCTGGGGCTGACCCCACCAGCCAAGGTAGCAGGCTCGCACACGATTGAGACCCGACCCATCATTCCTACCTCCTCCCTCCTCCTTCTCTATCTCCCTCTCCCCTCTCTTTCCCCTCGTCCTTCCATCTCGCTCCACCTTCCACTGAAGCTTCACTGGCACCTACCTGGCGGGTCGGATGAGAGCCCCGGTGGCCTCCGTCCTGGTCGCATCCTCGCCCGACTCCTTGAACAGGAGCTTGGCATCGCTCGGACGTGTGCATTTTCCTTCGGCGAGGACCATCGAGGAGCATCCTTGATGATTTGGCGAAGCAAACCACGCGCGAAACCAACAAAAAACACAGGAAATGGACGTCCGAGCGATGGCCAGGGAGAGCGACGAAGGAGCAGCTGGCCTTCGACCCCAGGCTGTTCGTGCTGAAGCTCCTGCGGGTGCCGCAGGTCAGCGCTTCGCCCTGCTGCCACGGCTCCACGAGCATCCGGCCCATTGGCACTCAGATCATGACGCTGGATGTCCTTGGCATCGCTCGGACGTGTGCATTGTTCCTTCGGCGAGGACCATCGAGGAGCATCCATGATCATTTGGCGAAACAACCACGCACGAAACCGAACAAAAACACAGGAAAAGGACGTCCGAGCGATGGCCAGTGTCTGCACCACCTTCCGCATGCTCACGCCTGCGGCCTTCGCGTCCTTCAGGGTGGTGGCGCCCATCTTAGAGATCTTCTCGATGATGGCGGATTTGCTGTCGGCAACGTGGAACTGCTTCGGGCTCTCGGGGCAGCCCTCCCCGTTGAAGGCTTGAAAGAGGGTATCTGCCTTGATGAACATGCCCCGCACCCGTCCAGTTGCGAGAACCCTGAGAAACGAACGCTGCGCAGTTGGGCGCGAGCCCTGTGAACTCCATGCCCCCCTTGTACCCAACCTTCCAGATGGAGTTCATGAACGAGGAGCCGCCTTCGACACTGCTGACGTCGACGTGGGGCGGCTGCCACTTCTCGAAGAAGCCCGTTGCCTCGTTCAGGCCGCTTCCATCATCCTTACCAGACCCCTGCAAGATCTTCTGGCCCCTTGGTTCAAGCTTCTGCCGAAAGTCAGACACCCACGCGGCCAACTCCTTCTGAAGGCTGCTATTGCCCATGAGGAGCATCATATCGTTGTGCTTATCCACTGCGAACGGTATGTCCCAGACGTCGGCGGCATCCTTGCTGGGAATCTCGACGACCGTAGTGACATTGTCGATCTCGTCCCACGCTGCGAGGAAGATAGGCATCGTATCTGCAGGCGGCTTGGCGGGCGGATTCCTCGCGGCCCTGATCTTATCTGCCGCCGACTTCGCGTCCTGTTTGACCTTCAGGATGGCAGCGTGCTGCCTCTTCTTCTCAGCGTCCCTCTCCTCCTTCGCATTGCGTTGCTTCTTGCCCGTCAAGTGGGCCTCGATGTACCCGCAAGAGGCCTTGGCCTCACCGGGCAGGTCATTGGCGATGAGGAAGCTTTGCTCCCAGGAGGCGACGAACTCGGCGAGCTCATCTGGCGTGCTGCACTCGAACAAGGTCTCATAGCAGTGGGCTTGCATCTCGGAGATCCACCTTGTCAGCGAACGGTTTCTTGGCCTTCTCAATCTCGACCAAGTCATACAGCGTACTGTTCATCTCTGAGTGTCCGTCAGAGTGTCAGGGTTGGCATCTCCTTCCCACCGGTCGTCGTCGAGATCGGAGGCGATGCGGAAGCAGCTTCAGAGTCACCAGAAATACCGAAGAGTTTGATGTGGGCGTTCAGGCCCTTCCACTTGTTGGCAATCTGCCAGTTTCACTGGAGACCCTTGATGTACGATTCCAACGACCCATCTCGAACGATCTTGCGGTATCTCGAGGCATCTTGGAGGCTATCCTGGAGCATCGCAGGCCCTCTTGGAGTCATCTTTGGCCATCTTGGGCGCTCTGGCACCCCTGGCCCCTCCCCGTCCAGGTCCAGGGGAGGGGGTAGGGGGAGGGGTCATGCTACCCACCCGCTCGCAAGCCGTCTGGCTCACTCCCACCCGTCCTCCCAACACAGGCATGTTCAGCATGTTCAGCGGTCGTCTTTGGATGGACAGCTACTGGGAACCAAAGCCGACCCCAGGTGCGCGACGCTTGGGCGAGGTGCGCCACGCTTGGGCCTGGGGAGCCACGCGCGCCAGGCACATCCCAGCCACGCCAGGTGCGCCACGTTCGGGGCACGTGCAGAGTGCGTCAGGTGCGCCTGCGCACGTGGCAGCACACATCGGGAAGCATGTCGGCCTCCACCATCCTCGTCGAACACCAATGCCCATCATTGTGTCTGGTGGGCCTGCGCACGGCAGGCCACGCGCCACCACCCCTGCCGTCCCTGTCAAACAAACACTCTTGGCAGTGATCGCGGCGTGGCCGCGCAGGATCCAGATTTAGCCGCGAGGTGCATTTTGTATAGTTTTTTGTCAGGGATGGTAGCCCTGCGCACAGCAGGGAATATCCTGGCACCCCCGCCGTCCCTGGTGCTCGCGGGCCTCACGAACATGACTCAAGACCCTGTCCCGAAGTGCATCTTTCCCAACCATCCTGTGGTGTTGGGTCCTCGTTTTGAAGAGACGGTCCCCGCGTTCCTTCCTTCCTTCCTTCCTTCCTTCCTTCCTTCCTCCTCCCCTTCCTCCCTCCTCCCATCCCTTCCCTCTGCACTACGCATGTCTTCGTCGTCGTCTCCCCCACCCAGCACAGCGCTTCGTGGCCCCATAAGGGGGCTCCACTGAATGCCCCAGTGGCGGTGTCCACATGCGTCTCCCCCCACCCAGCACAGCGTTTCGTGGCCCCCTTGGGAACTCCACCTAAGGCCCCAGTGGCGGTGTCCACATGCGTCTCCCCCACCCAGCACCGCGTTTCGTGGCCCCAGTGGCGGTGTCCACGTGCGTCTCCCCCAACCAGCACCGCGTCTCGTGGCCCCGTAGGGAGCTCGACCTAATGCCCCAGTGACGGTGTCCGCATGCGTCTCCCCCACCCAGCACACTGTCTCGTGGCTTCAGAAGGGGCTCCACCTTAGGCCCCAGTGGCGGTGTCCACATGCGTCTCCCCCATCCAGCACGGCGTTTCGCGGCCTCATAGGCTCTCCTAAGGCTCCAGTGGCGGTGTCAACATGCGTCTCCCACTCCCCCCACCCAGCACGGCGTTTCGTGGTCCCATAGGCAGCTCCACCTAAGGCCCCAGTGGCGGTGTCCACGTGCGTCTCCCCCACCCAGCACGGCGCGTCGTGGCCCCATAAGAGGGCTCCATTGAATGCCCCAGTGGCGGTGTCCACATGCGTCTCCCCCACCCCGCACCGCGTTTCGTGGCCCCATAGAGGGGCTCCACCTGAGGTCCCAGTGGCGGTGTCCACATGCGTCCCTGTACCCAGCACCGCGCTTCGTGGCAGGGGGCTCCACCGAATGCCCCAGTGGCGGTGTCCACATGCGTCTCCCCCACCCAGCACCGCGTCTCGTGGCCCCGTAAGGAGCTCGACCTGATGCCCCAGTGGCGGTGTTCGCATGCGTCTCCCCCGCCCAGCACAGTGCTTCGTGGCCTCAGGAGGGGCTCCACCTTAGGCCCCGGTGGCGGTGTCCACATGCGTCCCCCCCAACCGGGGAGCTCTACCTACGGCCCCAGTGGCGGTGTCCACGTGCGTCTCCCCCACCCAGGACAGCGTTTCGCTTCGTGGTCCCATAGGGAGCTCCATCTAAGGCCCCAGTGGCGGTGTCCACATGCGTCTCCCCCACCCAGCACAGCGTCTCGTGGCCCCGTAGGGAGCTCGACCTAATGCCCCAGTGGCGGTGTCCACATGCGTCTCCCCCACCCAGCACGGCGCGTCGTGGCGCCATAAAGGGGCTCCACTGAATGCCCCAGTGGCGGTGTCCACATGCGTCTCCCCCACCCAGGACAGCGTTTCGTGGCCACTTAGCGAGCTCCACCTGAGGCTCCAGTGGCGGTGTCAACATGCGTCTCCCCCACCTAGTACACCGCTTCTTGGCCCCATGGTGAGCTCCACCTGATGTCCCAGTGGCGGTGTCCACATACGTCCCTGCACCCAGCACCGCGCTTCGTGGCCCCATGGGGAATGCCACCTGAGGCCCCAGTGGCGGTGTCCACGTGCGTCTCCCTACTCAGTACAGCGTTTCGTGGCCCCATAGGGAGCTCCACCGAAGGCCCCAGTGGCGGTGTCCACGTGCGTCTCCCCCACCCGGCACAGCGTTTCGTGGCCCCCCCATAGGGAGCCCCACCTAAGGCTCCAGTAGCTGTGTCCACATGCGTCTCACCCACCCAGCACAGTGTTTGGTTGCCCCACGGGTGGCTCCACCGAAGGCCCCAGTGGCGGTGCCCACATGCGTCTCCCCCACCCAGTACAGCTTTTCGTGGACCATAGGGAACTTCACCGAAGGCCCCAGTGGCAAAGTTCGCATGCGTCCCACCCGCCCAGTATGACATTCCGTGGCCCATCGTAGACGATACCGAAGACGATACCCACAACGGCGGTACTCACAACTGCATCTGGTCGGGTCCTTCGCCAGGCTACTTGTTTTTGTTGACAGATGGTGGGGGGGCCGCATCGGGTTGGCCGCGCATGCTCCAAATGTGGAGACATACCGCGTGTTGTATTGTTTTTTGGCATGGATGGTGGGGGGGGCCCTCACGGGGTTGGCATGGTTTCAGGTTGGCCGCCGGCCAGGTGGATCGTTAGACCAACTACGCCCAGAGGGCTGGCTGGATATCTGCCATTGCCTACGCTTGAACTTGTTTGTGAGCTCGCTTGCATTCGCTTTCGAGCCCATTCATGGTGCTCTCTGGGTATCGCCCACGGGATGCGCACACAACAATTATGTATCCGGAGTCAAGATAGTCGCAAGCAAACAGCTGGTGCCTGCGAGGTCCACGAGTCAAGGCTGCTAGAGACGCTACGTGGCTGGGGCAATTCTTACTGACCCTGGTCTCCAAGCCAGCGTCTGTGAGCGCACGAGACTGAGCAGTGAGAAAGTGGCGGGGGGTTTGGGTGGATGATGGTGAGGAGGAGGAGGAGGAGGAGGAGGAGGAGGAGGAGGAGGAGGAGGAGGAGGAGGAGGAGGAGGAGGAGAAGGAGGAGGAGGAGGGAGGAGCGAGGAGCGAGGAGCGAGGAGCGAGGAGCGAGGAGCGAGGAGCGAGGAGCGAGGAGCGAGGAGCGAGGAGCGAGGAGCGAGGAGGAGCGAGGAAGACGTCCGGGCAGGTGCGCGAGCACGAGTGGCTCGCCCTCGAGGGGGAGAAGGACGCGGAGGGCGGGGGCGCGCGCGCGCGGCCGTGCACGGCCGCAGGGGCGAGGCCGAGGGACCCGCTCGCTCTCCCCTCCATTCGTCTCACTGCGTCTGGTCGTCTAGCCAAGGCGCTGGAGTAATCAGGCGATCTCAAACATGGATCAAGGGGGCGTGGATTGGCGACGGGTCCCCTTTCCCATGGGAAATCGCGGATTTCCGCCGCCGAGCGAGGCGGCACCGGCCGCATTTTGGGGAGGGCACCTCCCCCGCTCCATGGATTTGGCGACCGCGCGCCAAATCCATGGATCGCTAATCCATGTTTGCGCGCCCCCGAAGTAAGAAGCAGTTCGGGTGCGGAAGGGGCTGGCTGCTCCTCGAGGTCTTTCCATGGTGGTTCTTCCAGCGGTCCTCGTGCACCCAGGCGCACTTGGGGCCAACAAGGGGCTTCGGTACTCTTTCAGCGCTCCTTGTGGTAGCACAGTGAGTGCCGACGTTCGAAACCAAGAGGGCGGGGTCCGAGAGGAGAGCATCGCAACAGCGCGTGGCGGACAGTGTGTAGCGGGGGGGGGGAGAATGAGATCTCTGCTTAAGCACGCGGAGCTGGGTGCTCGAAAATTCCCCCAAGGACGCCTCCCCTCGCTTCGCTTCTCCCTCCTCTCTCTTCCCTCCTCTCTCCCCCCTCCCGTCTCGAAGGACAAATGAGGGCACGAGTATACACCTTCGGAGGTCCACGCGGAGTTCTTGGGTCGGCTTCGCCACCAAACCCACCCCGTGGCGCCTCCGACGCCTCTTCCGGCGCGCGGGGCGTTGGGCGAGGGAGAGAGGCGGGCGCCGACCCAAGACCTCCGAAATATTCGTGTTCTTCGTTTCCGTTGGATAGGAGGGATGGAGGACCGATGATCCAGGAGGATCTATGATCGATTGAGGATTTATGTATGAAAGAGCGCGTTCTGTGGTCGCTTGGAGGGGGGGGGGTTGAAACCGGACCCCCCCCTCCCGTGACGGGGGGGGGTTCGAACCCCCCCCTTTCCCCCCCCTGCTTCCCCTCTCCTCGGGCCGGCGCTTGCGTCGGCGGCGGCTGGCGACGGCGGCGGGGACGACGATTTCCATTTCTGGGCCGGCGCTGGCGCCTGCGGCGGCGGGCGCCGGTGGCTGGGAGCGTTGACGAGGACGACTGGTGGTGGTGGTGGCTTGTGGTGGTGGCGTTGGTGGTGGTTGTGGTGGTGGTGGTGGGGTGATTTGTTGTGGTGGTGGTGGTGGTTGTGGCGGTGGGTGGTGGTGGTGGTGGTGGTGGTGGTTTGGTGGTGGTGTGG